GAGCGGGTGCTGGTAGTTTCAGGTGCTAAGGTTATTTGTAGGTGGTACAGAATCTGTGGGGTGCGAGTTGTTTGTTGCAACATTATGGTGGTAGTGCGTAAGAGGAATGAAGGGAGTAGGTGATGGGACGAAGGCGTAGAAGGTCTGGCAAGGCAGGAATGGGATTGGGGTTAGGCGTCGAAGTTGGAAGTGGCGAGGTTGATGTGTGGATGGTTAAATGATGGAGGTGTGCGGGTGTAGATAGTAGGCATATTGAGTGCAAAGAGGGAGGATGAGGTGGGTAAGAAGGGGTTGAGGGTCGCGTGAAGGTATTGAGAGCAGCAGGAGGAGGCGGGGATGATGTGTGGGTCGTGGTCGGAAACAGTGCGATGAAGGGGAGGGCATGGGAGGGTTCGAGTGAGAGGGCGGTGGGATGTAGTTTGGTGGCGTGTGAGTTGTTGAAGCTGATGGGATGAGGTGTGGTGTGGCAGATCGAGTATCCAAATAACGTGCATCTGATTCGTGGAAATCATGAAGCTGCGGACATAAATGCTTTGTTCGGTTTTCGGATAGAGTGCATCGAGCGGATGGTATGTTGGAAGTGGATGGATTGTAGGGTGGTGTGTGTGAGTTGGGGTATGGGCGGGTGATGAGATGGAGTTCTGGGATGGTGCAGCTGTACGGCATGCGTGAGGAGGCGTATGGCAGTGCATGTTGTGAGAAGGGTGGGCTTGATAGACAGGGTGTCGGCGAGTTGTGAAGATGAGGCAGGAGTGGGTGAAGTGGAATGAGTGTGTCGAGAGAATTGCGTGGAACGGTGTGGTCGTGGTCGGTGTTGGTGAGGAGTTGAGACGCGACGTGATGTTCAGTGGACAGTGGGGGCGGTAGGATGGTACAGAGAGCAGTTATGTTTGGTGCAGGAGTGTCGAAGGGTGTGGTGGGTGGATTGAATGGAGATGCTGGAGTGGGCTTATGTGGGGTTGTGATGGTGGTGATTAGGGCGAGCGTGATGGAATATGGGCTTGGCAACGGATCAATCAACTGTTCAACTGGCTGCCGCTGGCTGCACTGGTAGAGAAGAAGATAATCTGCATGCATGGAGGAATCGGGAGATCGATCAATTACGTGCAGCAGATCGAGAGTCTGCAACGGCCGATCACTATGGAAGCAGGCTCGGTGGTGCTTATGGACCTGCTTTGGTACGGCGTGATATCTCCGGAGCGTTGTTGTCGTGCGTAATGGGGGTGTGTTGTGATAGGAGGATGTCGTTATTTGGAGAGAAGGCGAGTTGAACGCAAGGAGAGAGTGGAGGTAGAGAGACGCACGGAAGGATGTGGGTGGTGCTGATGTGAGGGATGATTGTTGCAGGTCGGACCCAACAGAGAACGACAGCGTAGAGGGGCTGCGACCGAATGCGCGGGGCCCAGGGCTGGTGACGTTTGGGGTAAGTTGAAGGTGCGGTGTTGGGGGGGGGGGGTTTGTGGAAAGCGGTGATGGGTAGCGGGGCATGGAGTGGGGATGATAGGTGTGGTATGGGGAAGAGTGTAACGGGTTGTGACGGATCTGAGCGATGATGTGGTATGTGGCAGCCGGATCGGGTGATGGAGTTTTGTAAGAACAACGATCTTCAGCTGATCGTGCGTGCACACGAGTGCGTGATGGACGGGTTCGAGCGGTTCGCGCAAGGGCACTTGATAACTTTGTTCTCGGGCACAAATTACTGCGGTGAGTGTGGAGGTTGGGAAGTTGGAGGGATGGGTTTGCAGTGGCGGTGTGGGTTCGAAGGTGGGAAGTTGCGAGGACGTGGAGGCTGGGGGATGTTTGGGAAGTGGTGCAGGTGTGGCGGTGGGTTGGGGAGGTTGGGAGTTTTGTCGGAAGTAGTGGGGTGGCGGTGTGAAAGGGGCGGAATGAGTGATGCGAGTGCGGTGAGTGAAGTTGAGATCGAGGTGTTGAGTGGATGATCGGAGTGTTGTTTGTGGTGGATGTCAGGGACTGCGAACAATGCGGGGGCAATCCTGGTGTTAGGAAGGGACTTGGTGGTGGTGCCGAAGCTGATACATCCCATCCCTCCTGCCATCACGTCTCCTGAATCGTCACCAGAGCAGCATGTGGATGACACGTGGATGCAGGTATTTGTGTGTGGTGGAATGTTGGGGGGCTGAGTTTGTTGTGAAATCTTGTGATGTTGTTGGGTGGAGTGATGAGAAGAGGTGATGTTTGGTGAGGATAGTATGGGGTTGAGCGGTATGATCTTTGTGTGCATGGTGGTTATGGTTGTGAGTGCTGGTGGCATGCAAGGGATGTGGAGGTTGATGTTCTGTGGGCAGGGGGGATGGTGAGGCGAGTTTAATGGGAGGTGGGCAGGTTGTGATGCGCGTATTGAGTGGATGATGGGGCGTGGTGTTTTGAGTGAGGGTCGTATGGTCTGAGAGTGTGGTGTGGCTTGAAACTGGCAGGAGTTGAATTTGCAAAGGCCGCCGACACCCACTCGAGGGCGTCCACAAGGGGGAAATGATCGGGGTTCTTTGGCGTGGATTTGATAGTCGGCGTAGGTGTGGGTAGGATGGCTAGGTGAGGCCAGTGGACGGCAGGAGTGATGTTGATGAGTTTACGGGTTTGTAAAGTACGGCAATGTGCACTGATTTTAGGAATAAGAAGAGTCGCTCCCTATTGGTATTCTGGGGTTGCGTTGTGACGCACAAGCACAGGAGGTGGTAAGCATGGTTGTTATGGGGGACTGGGGGTGTGAGAGTTGCGAGTGCCGGATGTGAAGCGTGCGGCATCCGTGGGGTGGAGGTGTAGCGAAAGAAGGGAGAGGGTAAAGAGGGAAAATTTTGATAGGTAAGGTGGAAACTGTAGGGGCATGGAATTTTGGAAGGGCTTGAGCGAAGCGCAGGGTCAAAATGGCGAGGATGGTCCACGCAGTGGTCGGCTTGGAGTAGTTTTTACGTAGTGTTTTGAGTAGGTATGAATTTTGGGTGTTGGTGCGCGTGTTTGTGTACGCGCCTGTCTGTCGATGATTTCGAGTGAAGCACAGCGTGTTGTTCTGCCTGGATCTTGACGCAACGACTCTCGCCTGGGTGTGATCCTACGGAAAGATGCAGACGGAGGGGTTCTAAAATGGTGAGATGTACTTTTAGTATGTTAGTGTGTGTAGGAAGGTTTTAAGCAATATGCAGTAGTTGTAAATTTTGTAATGAGTGTTCGTTTTAGTCGTTTTTGATGCGATTCAAACGTTTGAACCTTAGGGATTTTTATTGCTGTATTGATGCGATGCTTCGCAAACACATGATGCCTGCTGGTCTGGGCGTGTGCATCCTGGGCAATTAGAGCCAGCTGTGTAGCATTGCACCCTTGGGTTTTTTTTTTTTTTTTTTTTTTTTTTGGTATTTACCCAGATGTTGCATTGGTTGTCAGAGTTTGTTGTTTATTTGCAGAGATTGAGCTTCATGTGAGTGTAACATTTAGTCGAGTTCCAACAAGAGGAACCGGTCGGAATTCTGTGGGGACACTGGAGAAGACCTAGCGTTTGTAAGATCTAGCTTCCGTTGAGGTTTGAATTGGCGATGTTGCACATGTTTGACAACGATCGCAAGGTATGGTGGAGGTAGTCCGGTTAGTGGAATCTTTGTAAGAATGAGTTTAAACGGGAATTGAGAAGGAATACGTGGAAGGACGTGATGTTGGGAAGATATGTGTATTGGCGAGTTGGGTGGACGAAGCATTGCTGGAGTGAAATTGGTGGGCAGTGTAGCATGAGACTCTAAAGTATCGCGATTCGTTGTGTGGGTATGGTCGGATGCCAGCTTGGTATGGAAAGCTTATAAAGCATGTGTGATTTCAGTGCTCATTTCAAACGGAAGGATAAGAAGCGATCTTGATGCAATCATGTGTTGTAGGAAACGAAACCTGTGTAGAAGTTGCATCCATTGTAAGTCACGTAATTGGTTGCTCTTTTTGGGCCGGGGAGTTGACTACATGTATGTAGTTGTTCAATTTAGCACATGTTTCAAAATGGAACAATTCATGGGGCATGGGGATTGTATTAAATCAGCTGGAAGTAGTTGTGTCATGGATGGAGTATTAGGTGTAGCAGGATATGAAACTGAACAGTACGTTGATCTAAACAAGGAATGGATGTCATCTGTTGAGGGTAAAATTTGTTTACTTACCATCTTGGCTTTACACTCAAAAGTGCAAGTTTTAGGTGTTGCCATCAACAGACATTGTACCCAACAGACAGTATAAAGTCATCTTTGATTGTCAACATAGTGTTTGTAATCTATTCTTGGTTCAAGGCAATATAGAGACATTATTGATCTTGTCAACATAATTTTTGTATTTCACTCTTGGATTAGTCTGTTTAGATTTTTGTTATTGGTCATTTGAAGGTATTTAGAAATCTACTTTATGTTTTATCATCAAACTATCACCTTCTTTTTATCTCAATCACAAAGTCTACATCAAGTTTATAAATAGATGCATCCTAGTACCTAATATTAGTTAGTAGGTTCTTTTTAATTTGATGTAGAATGTATATTTTTTTTATGCATATAATTTCTACTTATTAGAAGTTTCTTTTACATAAAAGATACATTTATTATAAAGTTTTAAAAAACTTGTGATAAATAAAGAAAAAAATAAATGTATAGCATTAAGAATAAAAGATCTTTAATGAAAGAATAATATTTTTACAATTTCAATATAAAAAATGAAATATTAACTAATTTAAGAAATTTCTAGTCTAATATATAATATAGAGATAGTAAACAAAATGGAAAACAATGGAGCTTAAGATACATGTTAGGCATATTCAAGAGAAAAATTTGGATTAAATTTGGAGCTTTAGATATAATTATAAAGATTGTATATCAAATTTGCATAAGTTTTAATGATAGTCTTATGCATTGCCATTCATAAGTGATGATGTTTAGTTTGATTTATAAAATTATTATATTTGAATCAATTTTCACTAATTTTTAATTCTACTATGCAAAATATAATACATATAATGCTTTAGGTACATGGTGTAAACTACAAGAATAAAATATTTTTTACGCATATTTTTTTTGTATAACATAAATTACTTATATAATTATAATTATTTGTTAAGTTTTATAATTATATATTACAACTTGATTATTGCTTTATATAAAAAAATTACTTTTAAAGATATTCTTATTTATATTAAAACTTCTTCAATATAATATATGACATATTAGACTATATATATATATATATATATATATATATATATATAAGACATTATAATATCATTTACCAATTTTTTTTATTTTTATTTCAATCTATTAATACTTGATGAGCTCTTTCATTATACATTTTTTCTAGTTGTACTTAAAGTTTATGAGTTTATTTGTCTATTTTACTTCATTCCATTTTATAAAAGTCTTTTGTGTTTTTTGTCACATACTTTGTAATACAAGTTGTAATTCTAAATTTTTTTATTTGTACTTATTAATAGATAATATATATTTTGTGAGTTCCTTATGTATTAATATTATAAATGATTGATATCATTTGCTTATATAAGAGGTATTAATAGACATATTTTAATTAGATTATTTAGGTCCTATTATTTATTTTACATAATTTAATAATCCATACATAATAAAAAAAAATATAACATGGAAATATATATACGAGTATGAAGATTATCCTAAATATTATAAAATAATGACTCTTAAATTACATCTTTTGAATCTACTTTAAATAAAAGAATAAAAGAACATAAAAAAAAAAATTATTTGAAATAACTCATTTTAATCCATAATAATTACAATAAAATTACTTGCTCTCTAATTACTTGAAGGTCCATCTTCTTATATAAAATCAAAATATTTGCAACTATTGAATACATATTTGGATGCCATTTCAACATTAAATGAGGATTCAACAACTACAACGTGAGCACCAAGCTTGATTATAAAATAGACGATTCTAGTCCAAGAGTCAATATCATAGCATAGACCTTTTAAACCATTTGGCTAATATCACTAAAATATTTGTATTGATTGGCTATTATGGATTTTTTCTTTTTTGACTTGATTTATTTTGATCTTAGTTTTAGTAATCCTAAAGATTTTTTTGCTTATTTGACAAATAAAGGTTGTCAATAAGTTGTATATATAGAAGATGTGCTTGTAAAAGAATATTATGTGTTTTTAAATGCACTTCTTGTATTGAAGCATCATCATAGAATAAACATTTGTTTAATTTCAAATTGATGCAAAAGGCATTGCAAGCTGCCGTTTATGATGATTTCATTGTCCTATCCAAAGACTTTGCCTACCATACAATATTATTACTAATGGTAGTAGATAACAAACTCCATCCAATAGCTTTTCATTCCAAGAAATGTTTAATAATAAAAATCAACTATAAGATCTACAACAAAGTATGTCTTGCAATTCTGGATTCATTTCAAGAATGGCGTCATTATCTAGAAGGTACTTCTGGTCTAATCACCTTATATACAAATTATAAGACTTCAAGTATTTCATGCCAACATATGTTTTGAATTGTTACTAAGTCCATTATATCATGTCTTTATTAAAATCACTTATCAACCAAGAAAATAAGAGGATTTATTAGATGCCTTTTTTTATACATTCTTATCTTATATCATAAGAAGGAAACATATTCCTTGATTAATAAAGAACAATCTTCTTGAAGCTAGAGTAATTTGATCTTTGAGCAATGAAAATAACATTGATTGTTGATTCAAACTATTTCAAGCAAGTTCAATTGAGTATGTTCTTTTATCCTTGTGTTTATGATGTTAAGAATAATTCTTTTAAGTCTTGTGAATCTTCTAAGTTCAAGTTCAAGAATAATCTAGTCTATTTCAAGGTTGCATATATATATTTCAGAAGATAAAGAACAATTAGATTGTTTTTCAAGCTAATCATGACTTTCCAACAATTAGACATTTGGATTCAAGAAGACTTTAGATCTAATATCTAGAGATTTTTGGTGGCTTCAAATATAGAAGGTAATTAAAGACTTTGTAAAATCATATGACATTTATTCAAGATTAAAAATTCCTTGTTATTAATCTTATAGACTTCTTTAGTCATTAACTATTTCAAAACAACAATGGTTTTTTTGTTTCTATAGGTTTTATAATGGATCTTCTAATTTCAAGTTCATATGATTCTATATTCATAATTGTAGATTGTTTCACCAAGATGGCTCATTTTGTATTATATACAAAATCTATCACAAATAAACAAACAACTAAACTATTTCTTTATAACATCTATGACTATTATGGATTGCTAAAAAATATTATATTTGATAGAAGGATACAATTAGTATCAAGATTTTGAAGAATCTTTTTTAAGATATTGAAGATGGACATAAAATTATTTTTAGCTTTTTAACTTCAAATTGATGGATAAATAATATAAGTGGATTAAGTTTTAAAGCAATATTTGAGGTATACCATCAATTACCATTAAGATGATTTAACAACTTTTTTGCCATTGATAGAGTTTGCTTATAATAAGACAATACATTCTTCTACTCAACAAACACCTTTTATTGTTAATTGTGGTTATTATTAATGATTTGATATTTTTGATTTTTTAAAAGTTTATAATTTTACAACAAAAGATTTGATAAATTGCTTATTCAAACCACATGAAATAATAAAGGTACAACTAAAAATAAATAAATAAATAAAAAAGATAAATATTAATATTTATTGTAAGAAATAATCTTAATTTTACATGAATAATAAGATATGATTACTTTGTTGTAATATTGAAATTAATTATTCTTTTAATAAGTTAAATTATTATAGACTTAGATCATTTCTTATTTATAAACAAATTAATCCAATTGCTTATTGATTACACCTACTAGAGTTTATTGAGATCCATCTTGAATTCTATGTGTCTTTTCTTGAGTCATATAAGACAATAGATATACCAAGAAGAAGACAAATGTCATTTCCTCTTATAAAAGTAGATAGTAATTAAAAGTATGAAGTAGAAGAAGTCTTAGACTTAAGATAACATTGAAATAAGTTGAAATATCTTGTTTAATAGCATAAATATGATATTAGTGAATACATATGGGAGCTAGCTAAAAATCTTACAAATGCAACAAATAAGAGAAAGATAATATCATGGATATACATGTTTACCTAAATAAGAAGTATCAAGTCTAAGATATGTATAGATAAATTTGATAATATCTTATGGCAAAGCTTCTTATAAGTTTTATAGATGTAAATTTGACTTTAGACATATATATAATTGATTGATAGGTTAGTAATTTGGCCAATAAGTTAGTTACATATTGTACATATTAGTAGCTTGTAGTACAAGCTAACCATATAGGACATATATAAAAAAACTTGTCTTAAAAGTTAAGCGCATGTCTTGCAAGTTGGACATGTATTAGAGGTCTTATAAAACATTACTACGTAGCTTTTAGTTACATAATATATGGAAGTAAGAATACATCCTTTTTTACTCTTATCAATGCCTTTTTTTATTTTTACTCTTATTTCAAAAGACTTTAGTTTTTTTGTCTTTATTAATAGCTATTTTTATTTAATATTATACCATCTTTGAATGATTAGCTAATCTTTTTAAGTGATACATTGGTGTATTAATCCTTTGATTTTTTTAGATTCGTAACTTTGAAAATCTAATTTCTATAGCTAATCTTTAATAGATGCATACATTTTTTGGATGAGTAAATGTTGTAAGAGTATATGAAGAAAATAAAAGTAATAACTTAAATTGATAATTCTATTCAAAGGTGGAGCATAGGTTGCGGCTATGCAAAAATTGAATTCAATAGAAGAAGAATTATATAAGTAAAACATATTACAAGTTACCATACACAAAGAATTTATCTCATTACTAGAAGAATTCAAAGTAGTTCTAGGAATACCAGACAAAATTGTCCATCATATAGCTTATCTAAACACAAAGTTCAATAGCCTTGAAATAAATTCCAATCTAAATAAATTTAAATATTAGATGCATCTAAGACTAAAAAAAGTATTATTGATACTTTAAAATTGGCCAAAGCAAATTTTAGTATCAATAATAAAAAAGTGTAAGAAGTTCATGATAAGTTGCTACTAAAAGCTTGAAATAAAAGCTTAAGGCTTTAAATATTGAGTGTAGAAAGAGAAAGCTACTGTACATGGCAAAAAAGATAGACTTGTTGCCTTAAAGTGAGACAAGCAACAATTTTCTAGTGAGAGAGTAAAATCTAAAAGCTACTTAGCACAAAAGGAAAAAGATGATATAACATCAAGGACCAATATACACACTTAGAAGCTCAACTTAGATGTAAATGAGAAAAAAGTGATGGAGCTTCAATGTAATCTGGACAATGTTATAAGACTAAAAAAGAAAAGTTGATAATTGTTAAGGAATTTATAATTTCTAAGGCAAAGGTTGAGTTGATAAAAGAAGCTTTGGAATAGAAAATTGTTACTTTTTTTGGATTCAAGTTAAAGATTAGAAGGTTGATAAAGCTACAAAACTAAACCAAAGTAGCAATCAAACAAAACTTGCAAAGAGTAGTTAGCAAATGAGGTGAAGATAAACTTAACTGAGAAAAAAAACATATCTAAAAAGCTATAAACAAAAGATTAAAATAAAAATACTTAATCCTAATGAATACAAGAGCTACATTGATTTATAAATCTAGTTAAAAAAATAAAAATAGTGATATGGTGTGAATGTGGGTAGCTCTAGAATAGTGTCTTTGTAGAAACAAATATGAAATAAAACCAAAAGGCTAATAAAAATTTAAACAAGTTAAAATTTAATACAATATTTTTTATTATTAAAAGAATTTTTTTCTAATTTTAAAAAGATCTAGCTTTTTTTTAAAGATATAAAAAGATTATAGAAACCATAATATAATATTTTTTTACTTAAATACATAAAATATTATAGTAATCAATATCATAATGCTATGTTACAAACTTTACTCAATATAAATATATTTTATATGACATGAATTATAAATTTGTATCATTATAATTTTAATGTAATAAGAGACTTTTAGTTTAATTTATTACATAATTTTGGATTTTTAGATGATTATATTATTTTTTTATTTTGATGAAATTTTAATCTATTCTAAAAATATAATAGAGCATAAACTTCATGGTTGATGTGTGTTTCACAAATTTAGAGGAGTAGTATTATTTGCCAAAATAAAAAAGTACATATTTTACACTTCTCAAGTTGGCTTCGTATGATACATCATTTCAAATGATGGCCTTATAATGGATCCTAAAAAAATTTAGAATATTTTAAATTCTAAAATTTTAAAATTAATAAAAATATGTTGAATGTTTTTTGAAATTTTTTAATTACTATCAAATTTTTATTATAATTATTTTTTCAAAATACAACTTCATCTACACATTTAATATATAAAGACAAACTTAAGTAGAATAAAGAAGCTAAAATAATATTTGAAGCTTTGAAGACAACTTTTATTTCCTAATCAATTTGATATCGTATTGACTTTTTTAAAAGATTATTGTACAAAAACAAAAGTATTGGACTTTACTTTAGATACAATAATATTACAAATAGAAACACATGACAAACTTTATCTATTAGTTTTTATTTACAATTTTTTTTAGCATCTAAGCTCAAGTATAAGATCTACAACAAAGAACTTTTTGCTATTGTAAATCCTTTTTAAGAATGGCAACATCATCTAGAAGGTGCTTTTAGTTTAATTACTTTTCATACAAATCACAAGTACCTTGAATATTTTATATTAATATGAATTTTGAATTGTTATCAAGTCCATTTAAACATATTCTTGTTAAGATTTATATTCCATATCACTTATCAGCCAAAAAAACAACAAAGTTTATCAAATATTTATTCTAAATGTATTTATCTTGTGCCAAAAGAAGAAGATGCAATTTTTGATCAACAACAAACTATTATTTTGAAGCTTAAGCAATTTTGACTTTGAGGAATAAAATCAATGTTGATTGTTGATTCAACCTTTTTTGATCAAGTCCAATCAAATATGTCTTTAAATCCTCTTATTTATGTATCACGGATATACATAATTACCCAAATAAAAAGTATCAAATAAAAGATAAATATAAGTAGAATAAATCTAAAATCCATTACGTTATGAATCAAAAACCATATCTCTCATATTAAAAAATCCGCATTAACACTTCACTCCACTCTGTCAACAACACCCACGTCTTCTACACCTTTCCTGCTTTCATATCCTCCATCCACTCATCGTCCACACCTCTTCCCACCTGCACACTCCTACCTTCACACTGCTGCTCCTCTGCACCCCTCATTACACTGCCTTGCATCTTGTACACTATCACTTCCCACCGGACATCTAACACCACTCCGCATCCCCATATTCCGTACCTGTAGATCCAGCCGATGCACGTTGAATATGTCTTTCATAGCATGCGAGTTGTAATCCAGCAAGTAAGACCGGTATGCATCACGAGCCGACTGATGCAGGTAGTAGTTCTTCTCCACCAGCTTTTCCTGTTATCACACACACACGCGCCATGCTTGGATCGTTCCCACGCACACCCCAACCGTTCCAACCAACCCAAAACACAACCCACGACTCGCATGACCTACACTACCACACCGTTCGCGATTCCTCTTCATAACCACCATACTATTACTCCGCACGCTCTAATGTCACTAATCCTCTGTCACCATGCCACAACATTCATCCTCCAAGCCATGCCCATTCCTTTTCCTCACCACCCCCACCAGTATCTCATGCAACATTCTTACCAGTTGTGACTGCACATTCGCTATCTTGTTCAATGGAAACTCGTACTCGTTCAATGGCACTTTTGCGCCCTGCACACAAACCAACCCACTTCAGTCTCCCCCTCTACTTTCACGATCCACCACCCCATCTCAAAATCAACCACCACTTGCATCCCCGAAATCCAACCACCAAACCTTCCGGACCCACAACCACCAGTCATCATTCCCTACAACTCGACTTAACTACAACAACCGTCTGTCCGCTCAATTCCATCCACCACCACCATCAACCAGTACCAGGTCCTCCCACGTCCCTGCCTCTCATTGTCAACCCCTCTTCGTTACACACCATCTCAAACAATCTCTCTCCACCTTCAGATCCTTCAGGAACCCCAGCTCCTCCGGTATCAGAAACTTGCCGTTCGACCCACTCTAGAAATGTACTCCTGCACACCCAATCCTCATCCAGCACCATAACTGCTATTGCCCCTGCTTGACACCTCTGACTCTCAACAGCACCCGCAATGCATCCGCCTGCCTACAGGTTATGACCTTGCTCTCGCTACCCAAATTCATTTCCCTTTCTCCGCTTCAATTACCCAATGTGATTCCCGAATTTCATACCTCAGTCTGGTGAGTAAACCTGGTGTCTTTCAGGATATTCTTGGGGGCTCTGAAACCGGCAATGACTCGAATGCGGTGGTACTCAGAATCCCTTCAACCTGAGCAATTCCTCCTAAATTCTCAATAGTGAAGCTAGTCTTCTTGCCTTCCTTGCCGCTCATTCCATCCCTCGGGACGTTAGCCTGGTCCTTGCTATTCATTTGGTCAGCCTAAGCTTGCTCTGGGACCTCTCCATCCATTTCCCCCTGTGCTCTCTCATCTTCATTCTCACCGCTCAGTTGTGGCACAACCTGCGGCTGCCAATCTAGCTTCTTCTTCTTTTTCGGTTTTCCAACTTCACACTCTTCATGCTCAGCTTTAATCACGTCTCTCACCTCATCCGCATGAATTTCCTCATTGTCTACATCTGCCATTTCTTCAAAATTCTTCGGCCGCATTCGCGCTTTCTTCCTTTTCTCGTTTATAGATTCGAAAACTAAACCATGCAATGGAGACAACATGGTCAGAACTCAATTTTCACGGGAACCTGCAAAGACTTGAAAGCAGTGTTGCGGGTGACGAAAACATTTCACAAGGTTGAAAACCCCGACCCATAAACCCTGAACCCTCCCGAAACCTCAAAATCAACCTGGTCATCAAGGCGTGGAAAAAAATATCCCTTCTCACCACAAACATGAATCTCACCCACAACTGAGAATCTTAAACCCTGAACGAGAATTAGAATGCAAACCCCTATACTAGTGGAAAAAACAACACACAACCTCGCCAACTCCTCCATTCGGACTACCAGTTGCCTTACTCCCCACCCACTCTCTTCCAGAGCCCACTCGAACACTCCAACAGAAAAACCGAGAAAGGGTAGAAACAAAATTGGGCACTATGGAATGGACGGAGAGGAAGGAGTTGGGCAAGAAAACACAGAATGCAACAGCAACAACAACAATAGGAGAGTGGACATGCCGTTACGGAAGGAGGCTGGAGAAGGATGGAACAAGGTAGATGATGAGTGGGTCAGCGCTGTGGCTATGCCATGAGAGATGCAGCGATGAATAGATGCAATGAGTGTGTGGGAAATCAGGGTGACGTTGACTGTGTGAGGGATGCAAGAAGCCATTGTCGATGCGGATGCGCAATCTTGCCGACTGGACCGGGCTGCCTCACCGACACATGGGTCGCCGCCTCTCGTCACCAAGGGCTCGCCAGAATCCTGGATCCGCCCACGGGCTGTCTAGCCCCCGTCGGCTAGCCTCGGGACCCATTGCTGATTGAACAGGCGTTGTGCGGTAAAGCAGCAGCTTTTCCCCATTAATATCGCTGCCGTGGGTTTCTCACAGCGCCAGATTCGTCGCTCAGACCTCGTTCTTGTCGATTAGCAGTCTTTGATCGCAGTTGGATCCACTCTGCCTGCATCTCCACCTTCTTCCAATTTGCCCTTGGTGGTGAAACTTCGGCTGAATTTTCTGTATTCGGCTGCGTGCGAGAGTAATGCACTGCGCGTCAAACAGCATCCACAAGTATGCAAGAGATTGGTAACAAGGATAAAAACATAACACCGCTACAAGTGCAGCGCTTATTTGCCGATCACAAGTAAACAAGGCTTCTTATACAAAACAGTTCTCCCTGATACTAGATAGATACCCAGTCAAAGGGGTGCACATCCAGACATTCAATTGAGACCTCGATTTTGTTGAGGACAGGCCACAGAGGCGTATCGTCCAACAACCTCCCTCGTCCCAGTAGTTCCAAATTCAACTCTTACTCTAAATACACACGCAAGAAATAACTACAAAAAATTCCTTTACAGCTTGAGGGTTTCTTGATTCGAGACTGAGTCTCTATTTGTAGGTGATCTGCAATGTGAGGTGATGGCGCAAGGCCAAGAGTGCCGTTGTGATTCGCTGGTGCATTTTTCATTATCTAACTAATGATACTATCTAGTCCTCTTTGGGAATCAAAATTTCATGACGAGCTGAATGAACTTTGCAGTGTCGAGCTTTCTGCCTCATCATTCGGGCATTGTTGTTGTTCGTGACAAGTGCTTGTGTCTGGTTGTTGAGGTTGTTGGAGCACCAATTATTTACTGCTTCAAAAGAGGTTCTTGGTCAGAGCAATGTTGCAAAAGATGCTCCTATCTGTTCGTCGGCGTACGTTGCGAGTTCTCAATCTGTTGTTCACTTGATGGATTCGATGGTTTCCTCACGATGTACTTCCAGTTCCAGTGGTGTACCTGAAGAGCGATTGTTGCCCCGTCGTTGCAAGTACTATATTGTCTAATGTAGGTTTCACCTTGGAATCTATGAATCTTGGGCATACTGCTAGCTAAAGGTGAAGGGTTTCAAGGGAGCAAGGTATAAGGCTTTTCAAAGTAGGTTGGAAGCAGAGAAGTATGTGTCGAGTTAATTTTAAGTATTCTGTTACTGTATAGTTATGTTGAGTGTGCTAACTACATTTAGTCTTTCCCTGAATTTTTCAAATAAAGAGTGCCCAAGTGGCTTTGTAAAGATGCTTGTTATTTATTCTAGTGTTGGTACATACTAAAGGCTAATTTCTCCGGATTGAATTTTTTTCTAGTAAATTGATAGTGTGTTGCTTTGTGTCTTGTTATTGGATTAATTGTTGGATTTATGGCTATTCTAATACTTCCTATATTACAATGTATAACTATTGGAGGTTCTATATCTATTTACAAGTCTTTGAGTAAGATTATTAGCCAGGTGGCTTCTTTAGAAGCATCAGTTAATATTCTATATTTTGTTTTCAAAGGAGACAAGACTATAGTGGGTTGTTTCTTAGATGACCATGACATAGGTATAGTTTTAATGCTAAATACAAATATTGTGGTAGATTGAGCTTGTTTCATATCTCCTATCTAATCAAAGTCTACATATCTAAAAATGTTAGTTTGATTGTTGTTTTAATATAATATTCCATAGTTTTGAGTGCTTTTGATATAACATAATATTCTTTTTGCTTTAAGTAGAAGAAATTGCTAATATTTTTTGTATATAGAATTTTTGTATCATGAATATTCTTTCTTTTACTTGTATGCATTTTACCTTTAAATAATGTAATGGAGTATATATAAGATAATTGTATTGTTGACACATAGGGATAGATAGTTAGAACCATGTTTGAGAAATTATAGAAGTTTTTAGAATTGAAGCTAGGTTAATAGACTATGTAGCACCAACTATAGAACATTCTAGAAAAGAAGTAGGATATTATCTAGTCAACTATGGCTTTGGACCTTCTCTCTTAGTAAAGTTTGGATTTACATCTTCATATTCAGTTTTATTTTGTTCTCTTCTATTTTTGTTTGTTCAATTTTGTCTTTTGTATCTTATTCTATTTGGTTCTGTTTAGTTTTGTTTTGGTCTATTTTGTCCTACTTTGTAATGAGGTTTTATATTGCTACAAATTAGAAGAGTCTTAGACTCTCGAGATAGACTAGTCATATTTCATGAGTATCAAAGCAAGTATTAGATTGTTCTTTGGTAGTATGTACATAGCCATCATCTAATTCAAGGTCAATTGTTATAGTCACATTAGACACTATGTTGAGGTTACTATGAGCTATTATGTAAAAAATCATGTAATAATACTTTCAACTATCTAAAGCAAATACCAATGAAGGAATTATATATGCAGTGAGCTATTTGAGAGATGTGACAGCTATTTGATAGTGACATCAAGTTCAAAACTATGGAGCTCAAGGTAGATTTTGTGGTTGAGAGGAATTTGAAACCAAGTTTAAGAATCAATTTTGGCCAATCAATGCAAAGAAGATATAATACAATCACTTGGTAAATCTTACACAATTTAGGTTGATGCAAGATTATGTTTCTTGATTCAAGTCCCTATGTCTCCAAATTGATAATGTTTTAGAGGTAGAGATGATGGATCAATTCTTACGAGGTTTGAAACCTAGGGTCCAACAAGAGATGGAAGTAAAAGATTTACAAACATTTAAAGAGGCAACTTAGATTGCAGAAAAGGTTGATGCTATAGATTTCAAAAATTGTGGAATACAACCTATAGCATGAAGTTCTATGCCACTATTTAATATTATGGCACAACAACCAATGCCAGTGGAGATTGATGCCTTACAAGGATCATTGACAGGACAAAGACAACAAATATTGGCATAAAAGGGATTTCATTTTTGTTGTTAGGTGCCAAGTCATTAGATCGTAGATTGTCCAAAATATCAAAATTCAAGCACCAATAAAATAAGGCAGGTTCTTAGTCTTGAAACTCACCAAGTTGATAATAAGACATAGTAGGAAAATGAGGCTCTCTAGTTAAGGCACTAAGGGCCAATACTAGGGATAGCTACTGTCTCTAAGAGACAAATGGTATGGCTTCAAACAACTATAAAAAGAATTGATTGGTGCATCTAATGGAACTATTAAGAAAATAACTATGTCAAGTACTCGTGGATTGTGGCTTTATAGAAAATTACATCTCAACTAAAATTGCCAAACAACTTGGGATTAAAACTAAGATAATCAAAGAAAGAAGTATATATCTTGTAGATAATCGAGAAAATATATTGAGTAAGACATTTGAAAAAGAAACCTTAAGCTTGATTGATACCTATGTCTTAAGAAAGAAGTTTAAGGTAATAAAGCTAAGATATGATATTATCCTTGATATGCCATAGCTAGAGGTAAAAAATATGCAAGTTGTTTGGATAGCAAGGATAATCTCCTTCAAAGATGATGGATGCGAGGTGACTCTTTGTACCTCTGCATGGAATGAAGAGAAAAAATAATCTACAACTAAAAACTTATTCATAGAGATGATTTTTATGAAGAAGCAAATACAACATATGCAACTTATATATGATGGTTCTAAATCTTGCATCAATGGTAGAAAAGATAGTCGAAGAAATAGAATAGATAGAACAACTCATACGGGAATATTAGGATGTCTTTTCAACCAACCTACCTAATAGTGTGCCTCTTGATTAAGGTACCCTCTTTCGAATAAAACTACTACTTCGAGTCAAACTGACAAATCTGCCAATTTATCGCATACCACTAAATGAACTTGAAGAGTTACAAAAGACATTGGATGAACTATTGGAAAAGGGTATTTTTTGAAAAAGCACATTACCATAGAAACTATCTATATTCTTTGCACTCAAGAAGGATGGTGGACTTTGACTTTGCATTGACTATTGAGGCTTTAGTAAGTAGATTGTTAAAAATACATATCCACTTCTAAGTGTAAATGATCTTCTTGAATAACTTAGAGATACAACTATCTTTAGCTAATTAGATCTTTGAAGTGGCTATTAGCAGATACCTATTGCAAGAGAAGAAATAAAAAAGTTAGTATTTTATATATGCTACAAACATTTTGAATGGCTTATTTTATCTTTTGACCTCACCAATGTTCTAGCCTCTTTTATGGGTCACATCAACAAATTGTTTTGGGATCTTTTGGATAAGTATATAGTCGTCTTTATTGATGATATCTTTGTACATAGTAAAATTCCTAAAAAACATGAATAACACCTATGAGAAGTGCTACACCAATTACAAGATAGTCGCTTCTATTGCTAGTAATCTAAATGTGAACTTTGGAAGTTAGAAGTCACTTTTTTGGGTTATGTGGTGTCTTTCAAAGGCATAAGCATAGAACAAGATAACGTGAAACTAGTATAGGATTAGCCAACTCCCAAGGATGCTTCTAAAGTCCACTCATTTTTAAGCCTTGTTGGATATTATCACCATTTTGTTTAGCAATTTGTACACATTATTACATCATTGACAAATCTATTGGAGAAAGAAGCCCCATTTGAATGGAAATTGGAACAACAAAGTGCCTTTGATGGATTGAAGGAGATACTCATTACTGCTCTAATATTGCAATTGTATGATCACAACCTTTTTTGTACACTTCACATTGATACTTTTGACTTTGCTATTAGAGCGATTCTTCAAGAAGACTTTGGTAGGGACCTTCAACATGTGGTATATTAATTATGCAAGCTCAAAAAGACAAAAGACAATTACTCTACACAAGATTAAGATCAATTAGTAAATGTATATGCAATAAAGGTGTGGCAACACTATTTATTGAAAAAAATAGTGGTTATTCAAATTGACCATCGATCTTTGCTACACAATTTGTACCTAAAAAATATGAAATCATTGCATCATCATTGAAAAAAATATTTACAGCTTTTTGATATCGAGCTTGAGTACAAACAAGGGTGACAATATATTGTGCTAGACATCTTATTGTAGAGACTAGACTTAAAGACTAAATCAAAAAATAAGATAGAAGTTGCTACTATTAATAGTATTATTTCAAACCTAATTAAAGAGATAGAATGGAAAAAAGATGTACATTGGAATGTTTATTTCAAGATGGTTAGCGATTGACTGAAGATGGACAATATACAATATTAAGATTATAGTCTTAATAATGGCTTGTTCTATTTCAAGAAGCAGATTTATGTACCTAACAATGCTACACTCCGGACATGTATACTTCAAGAGGGACATGACATTTCAATACCTAAACATCTAAGGCAAGAAAAAAAATTTAGAACAAATCTCATGGATATGATTTTGGGAAGATTTGGAATGTGATGTTTGAGCTTTTGTGGGCTATTGTGAGTCATATCAACATAATAAACTACACAACACATTGTCTCCTAAACTATTGCACTCAATTCTACTACCTATGGTATGTTGGGAGTAAGTGATTATAGATCTTATTATATATTTGCCCCAGATGCTTCACGAGAAGTTTTTGGCAAGCCTTATTTAAGCTACTAGGCCTACGATTTTTTATATCTACAGCC